GCTGGGGATTCAAACCCGCCACCTTAGGTGTACGTGGCTGGCGCCTTAGCCGGTTGAGCTATAGGCGCCGAGCCCATATATCACTTCTAAAGTTTCCTTTACTGGCCTCTGTAGTTAATCTCTTTACATCACCTTGTTGATTTCCATCAGCAGCAACTATCAATCTTGGCAGGTTTTTTTTTTATTTACTTATTTTAACTGACTTGTTAATGTCTATCCCACCCTCACTAGGAAGGCACATTCACAGTGTACTTCCAGAACTATGCCTGGTGTGTCATGGAAGCTGAGAACCTGCCAGTCAATAGTTGAAGGACCAAAATCTCCCAAGCCCCTAAAGGCATCCTGCTCATAGTATATGTCCCATAGGTATGGCCAAAGGGCATCAGGTCTGCTCCCCAGGTTCCCAAGAAAAAGTCGGGGAAGCAGACAGCAGGGTTTATTGAGGTGCATGTCCACACCTGAGGCCCAGAGCTCTCCTGCCTTCTGCAGGGAGGAACAGTATGATCTCTTCCAAATCTTCATCTCTGGGCAGTCCTTGTCCTATCCTCACCTCAGCTGACAGTGTAACACTGATGTTCCAGAGCCAGGAAACAGGGAAAGAGAAGGGCTCCATGTGGCCCCAAGTTTCTGCTCCTGGTTTCTCTGTGCAGCTGAGCTTCCAGAGGTGGGTGGCAGTGCAGTGAGCTCCACCCTAGGCTGGAGAAGAGTCCAGTGCCTCCCTGTCCCAGAGGGCCTGGTGCCTGCCTCTGACAAAGCAGGGAATAATATTAAATATAAATAATTTATACAAAATGGCTCGTATAAAAAGCTATGGGTTAGAAAGAAAAGATGCCTGTAAGAGGCTGAGATGACAGGAAGGGGCAGGAAAGGGGAAAGATACTACCACCTCTCCTAGTCCCTAAAACAGAGCCCTCCAGCCACCTGAGAACCGAAGGGGAGCTTTGGCAGGTCAGGGAGGGGCAGAGTTGTGCCAAGGCCCTCAGGAGGCCAGGCTGGTGAGCAGGGTGGTGAACCGGAGGGCCTGACTGGCCAATTCTACCACACACTGCTCCATCTCTTGGGCTGCAGGGCCAGATGGGTAGCCCAGTGCGGCTCCCTTGACAGCCAGCACAGTGGCCCGTAGTGCCTGGCCTAGTGCTGTACCGGCAGCCCCAACCTGTGCTCGCAAAGGGGCAGAGGCTACCAGCCGGCCCAGTGTGTCCCCAACAAACACCAGGCGATGAGCAGCCACTACCACCCTCTTCCCGTGGGGCACAAAGAGGCGTGGGGGTTGATTAGTCTGGGTGCTGGACATCAGTGCTGACACAGCTGTCTGCAGTGTTGAGTAGTGGCTCTGGCACTGTCCTGCATAGAAGTGTAGGAGTTGTAGATCTGCAGTGGATAGAACGAGTGGCTCCCCTGGGGACAGGGCCTCCTGAGGGATAAGAAGAGTGGTCAGTGGGGACAGGCTCATCAATGCCACTTCTTCCCTTGATTCCACTCTCCTTCCCTCCCTTTGTTCTTCTTTCTTTTCTTCCCATGGGCAATCCCTTTACCTCTTACCTTTGCCCATGAGAAAATTTAGATTCTTAGACAGAGGCAGTGAAGTGCCCAGACCTGATATCAGGTAGAGCCGGATTCAAATAATCTCAAGTCTAAATTTCTGTTTCCTTATATCTAAAACAGGGGGTTGAGTACTGCACTGTCTGATATGTGAAATTTTAGAATTTTTAGTAACCACATTAAGAAAGGTAAAAAGAAACTGGCAGAATACATTTTATCTAACTCCAAACATTAAAAGTTATAATTTCAACATGTAATCAATATGAAAATTGAGTTTTTCTCCATACTAAGCCTGCAAAATACAGTGTGCATTTTATATTTACAATTTGGACTAGCCGTATCTCAGGTGCTCCATAGCGCCATGAAGCTAGTGGCTACTATATCAGATAGTGCAGTTCTAGTACGTACCTCCTTTGAGACAGAATCTCACTATGTCACCCTTGGTTGAGTGCTGTGGTATCATAGCTCACAGCAACCTCAAACTCTTGGGCTCAAGCCTCCCAAGTAGCTGGGACTACAGGTACCTGCCACAACACCTGGCTATTTTTTTTGTTGCAGTTGTCATTATTATTTAGCTGGCCTGGGCTGGGCTTGAACCCACCATGTTTGGTGCATGTGGCTGGTACCGTAACCACTGTGCTACGAGTGCTGAGCCAGTGAAGTGTTTTTTGTTTGTTTTTTTAAGAGACAGTATCTTGTTCTGTTTTCCAGGCTAGAGTGCAGTGGTGTGATCATGGTTCCCTGCAGCCTTGAATTCCTGGGCTCAAGTAACCCTATTGCCTCACCCTCCCAAATAGCTGGGACTACAGGTGCATGGCAGCAGGCCTGGCTAATTCTTTATTTTTTGTAGACACAGAGTCTTACTATGTCGCCCAGGCAGGTAGTCCTCATGCTTTAACTTTCCAAAGTGCTAGGATTACATGTGTAAGCTACTGTACCCAGCCTGCAATGAAGACTGAGACAATATATAGAAAGTGCTTAGCACTTTGTGCTTGTAGAAAGGGCTACACTGCATATTTATAGCCACCATGTTGAGTATTAATTATGACTATGATTAATGCTGATGCATGCAATTTGTCTAGCACAGGGTCTAGTACTTCATAAACACCTGATAAGTGGTGGCCTTTGTATAATGACCATTCTAGACAGGGTTGAGGAAACTGCCTCTCTTTCCTGAGGGCCAGGGAGATTAACTAATGGCTTTAGAATCCCTTGCTTCACAGTAGTAGAGCAGGGATTAGGAGCCAGGTCTCCTAGAAACCTGGGAGTTCACGGTTGGAAGCAGCCTCAGAAGTCACCCAGCCCAGGTTTGACCCACAGCCAGAAATTCTTTCTGCTCCTCGGGCTGCTTGGTTTTCTGACTCCTCTCCAACACATTCTTTCCCCTCTTTCTGAATTCCTAACATCCTCTTAAGTCCCAGCTCCTTCTTGTTGAATTCTAACTCCTCTCTATTCTGACCCTGCCCGTGAAACTCTTACCACATCCTAATCTACTTCCTTCGATGGTTCAGTTAGGAATACTCCTTCTCCTGGTTCTTGTTCCTCCTTCCCTAACCCCTCCTGTAGGCCACCACCACCAGGGTTACCTGCTGCACTGGTAGTCCCTTCTCCAGCAATTCAGGATCCCCTGTGGAGGTCTTATCCAGGGGCCTAGATCCCTGAGCTTTATCCATGCCCTGCAAGAGGGGATCAGGTTTCAGAGTAGGGGTGGAGTGGTCTCTCTGCCCCTCCCCAGTCTCCCTTCCTTCCCAAGGATGCTCCTGCCATAGATATGGAAGTCCCTTGACTCCAGGTCTGAGAGTTCTAGTGGCCCCAAGCTGGGTCTAGGGGGAGGAGCATAGCACAGGAGTTGTAGCCAAGTCCTGGGGTCCCAGAGAGCAGAGTGGAGAGCCAGGGGAGAGAAAGGGAGAAGGGCAGTGAGAAGGCTCTGCATCTGTGCCCCAGATGCAGTTCCTGCCCCAGTTCGCCTGAGGCATTTTTGGTGGGACTGCTCAGAGCTCACCTTTAGGTGGACATAGTCATACTCCTCAGCCACTGGAATGCCCTCATACTCATTGTGGTGTCCTGCAGGATCATCTCCTACTTCCCTGTCCTCTGGATCACCTTCCACTTTAGGGCCTCCATAGCCTGGAAGGCGGGGTGGGGGTGGGGGTAGAGGCCGGTCCTGAATGCTGCCTTTGCGGCCTGGGGCAGGAGAGGGAGCTGGAGAAGGGCTGGAGGCCTCAGGGACAGGCAGGGCAGGCAGAGGGCGGCGGGACAAGCTTTCAGTTGAGGGTAGTCGGGGCCTGTGTGGGGGTGGAGGGCTTCTGGCCAGAAGCTGGCCCAAGGTGTCCAGGTCTTTGGAGGTTGAGGCTCCTGAGGGCTCTGGAGAAGGGGGAGCCTCCGGCCCTAGTAGGGGCACATCGTAGATACCCTCGTCAGTGCCCCCGCCTTCCCCATCTGCCAGCAGTTCCTCAGGTGCTTCATACAGGTTGAGGAGGGCTGATGCCCGTTTCAGGTTGGAGGGGGCAGCATAGAGAGGGGGCCCTGGTTCCCGGCCCCCTTCCCACTCTACATCTGGCTCCAGTTCAGCAGATGGCTTCAGCGCCAAAGGCACATCGTAGAAAGCTTCATCCTCTCCAGGGGACTTCGGGGCAGCCCGAGCCAGAGGGTAGGAAAAGGAGATGGGGCAGTCATAGGGGCCATTGGAAGGAACCCGGAGGGCAGTGGGGGGCACATCATAGACCTGAAGAAAGGAGTGGTGAGTTACTGTTCACTTAGCAATGAACCCCAAGGGCTGTTTGTCCCCCACCCAACATACACATGAACTCTGGTTCTTGCCTCTAAGATATCTCCGGAGGCAGCAAGCTGGGTCCCACTGCTTCTGGGGATCTTGTAGATAGAGTCAGGGGAGGGTGGAGAGGATCCAGCTGGAGGTCCTGAGGCAGGACAGAGCCGAGCTGGGGGTGGCACCACATATACCTGGGGCATCAAGATAGGCGAGTGAATCAGGAAGTATAGGGGCCAGTGAATGGATGATGTCTGAATAAGAGGAGCTAAGAGACCTTCCACCCTGCCCTGTATTGAGAGGAAAACAGCTCAGATAGGGTTGGTAGACAGGCTTCACACAGCAGAGTCAGGAAGGGCTGCAGCCTCAGGATTCTTGCTGCCCACCTCACTGCAGGCCCAGGATGGGGTTCGATGGGGAAGAATGGGGTTCTCCTGCTTTGGGGTTGAGGAGGCTCCCACTCTCACCTCCTGCTCCTCTTTGCCGTGATCCAGGACTGGATAAGATGAGCTGGGCTGGGGGGATGGGGGCACTGGGGAGAGGCTGGGCTTGGGTGCTGGGCCAGCAGGAAGGAGCTTCACTCTGTTGGCAGGCACAATGCCCTGCTGGCCATGCAGGGAGCAGAGGCACCAGCCGTCCAGCCCGCCAGCACCTTCCTGTTGCAGTACCCGCAGAACATCCCCTCGGCGGAAGGACAGCTCCTGGGGGGACTCAGCAGTGTTGTCATACAGTGCTCGGGCCAGCTGGGCCTGGTGGGTGAGGTGGGAATGGGGAGAGGGGTCTTCAGACACATATCAGGTCATGTCACCCCTGCTCAAAAACCTTCAGAGCTCTCATTTTCCTCAAGCTAAAACTCTGAACTCCCAGGTGCAGCTTTTCCTGACTGGACCCTGCCTTATCTCCAGCTTTATCACCTGTATTCTCCCTCTTCCTTTCCAGTCCTTCATCTAGAAAAACTCTTTCCTGCCCCAGGCCTTTGCATTTGTAGTGTCATTCACCCAAAATGCTCTTCTCTTGACTGGTCATTTTTTATCCTTCAGTTTTGCTTAAATGTCTCCTTCTCAAAGAGGGCTTTTCTTTTCTTTTTCTTTCTTTTTTTTGAGACAGAGTCCCACTTTGTCACCCCTGGTAGAATGCTGTGGCATGATAGCTCACAGCAACCTTGGACTCTTGGGCTTAAGTGATTCTCTTGCCTCAGCCTCCCTAGTAGCTGGCTATTTTGTTTCAGTTTAGCAGGCCCAGGCCAGGTTCTAACCCACCAGCTCCAGAGCATGTGGCTGGCGCCCTCACCACTGAACTACAGGCACCCAGCCTTTTCTTCTCATTTTGGCGACAGAGTCTCATTCAGTAGCCCTGGGTTGACTGCCACAGTGTCATAGCTCACAACAACCTCAAACCCTTGGGCTCAAGTGATCCGCTTGCCTCAGCCTCCCAAGTAGCTGGGACTATAAGCATCTGCCACAGTGCCTGGCTAGTTTTTCCATTTTTAGTAGAGATGAGGTCTTATTCTTGCTTAGGCTGGTCTCGAACTCCTGAGCTCAGGCAATCCACCCACTTCAACCTCCTAGAATGCTCAGATTACAGAGGTGAGACACTATGCCCAGCCCAGAGAGCCCTTTTCTTAACTCTCCTCCCTGCTCCATTCTCTGTCTCCACTCATTGTTTCTTTCATAGTACTTTATACTATTTGTCTATTTACTTTTTAATTACCTATTTCTTCCCTGTAAATAATCCCTATGAGACAGGAATTGCAGTATTCCCAGCCTCTACAATGGGGTCTGACTTGGAATTGGTCCTCAATACCTAGAATGAATTTTTCCTACACACAAAGAGATCCTGCTAAGGTCCGCTGTTCAACATACCTTACCTCCTCTGTGTTTCCTAGTCATTATCCCTCGCAAGCAAAAGGTTAGATAAAGTAGCTCCACAGACCCCTTATTTGGGGAGAGATTTAAGAGAAGCCTAGTCCAGGGAGAGCACATAGGCATAATATAGAAAATAGAAACAAAGCAACTGTTTTGTTCTCAGTCTGAGCAAATAAGATTCTACCAGAAGAGGCTGAGGTTACCATGGAGAAGAGAAAAGTGTATATGCTCTAGTGTAGCGTACATGGAGTGTGGCTGGCAGGACAACTGAAGGCAAACATTTATCAGCCTGTTTCCAGTTCTGTCTGGTGGGGGCATCTAAGCTTTTCCCAGTCAGGGCCACGTGCTCAGGTGAGAAGTCACAGGTACCCAGTGCAAGTACATATAGATACTATGCAAATCTTTGCATTAATCAAATCTCGTCTCATTTAATTCTCACAAGCAGCTATGAGGCAGAAGCCATCATTATTTCCATTTTGGAAAGAAAACTATAACATAGAGGTATTTTGCCCAATCACATACGGCTGGTACAGCTGGTGGAGTGTGATTGAACCCCAGGCTGTTGGATTCCAAAATCATGCACTCTTCAACTACTCACTTTACTGCCTCTCCATAATCACAGATGTACAAAATCTATTTTTTTAAATTGTAACACTGGTAGAGCCCAGAGAGTCCATAACTGAAAGTCAAGCACATATGAAGGCTTATTTCTTTGCTATTAACCTTTTAAAATGTGAGAGAGAGTATATTTGACTTCCATTATGATTGTTCAATGACTAGGCTGCTGGTAGGGTCCCAGGCAGTGGTGGCCTATATGCATTGTTGGAGAGCAGCTGGTTAGGTACGGTAAGCCCCATAACCAGGAGGACTTACTAATTCGGCAAAAAATCTCAAGCATGCTGCCATAGGATCCTGGGGAGAAGGATGCCCAGCTCAGCCAGCAGGAGCTCACATTCCTCTTGTCTAATGTTTCCCTCTGGTGGTGAGGTTGTCTAGGCTGGGTAGTTTTAAACCCATAGACTCCTTTTGCCTGAGCCCAAGCTCATCAAACCATTTTCTGATTATATTTTGCCTTCTTCTTTTTTTTCTTTCTTTTTTTTTTTTGGAGACAGAGTCTCACTATGTCACCCTCAGTTGAGTGCTGTGGCATCACAGCAACCTCCAACTCTTGGGCTTAAGTGATTCTT